TGTTGAACCTGGTTCCGAGGGCGGCGTGCAGGGCGTGACGGTGCCTGAAATTCTGGCACGCTATCCGCAAGACAAAGGTTACTTTCCGTTTATCGTCAAGATCGACATCGAGGGATTTGAGTCAGACCTGTTCGCCGAAAACACCAGTTGGGTGGATGCGTTTCCGGTGCTGATTATTGAAATGCACGACTGGCTGTTCCCCGGGCAGGGAACATCTGCCAACTTCCTGAAAACTGTTGCAAATCTCGACCGGGATTTCGTCTATCTCGGCGAAAACGTCTTTTCCATCAAAAACAACCGTTCGGGGACGGGTGCTGCATGAACCAGCATCCCCGAATCCTTATTTTGTGCCCGTATCCGCTCGGCATCAGCCCGGGCCAGAGATTCCGGTTTGAGCAATATCTCGACACGTTACGCGCGAATGGCCTGGTGATAGACGTCCGTCCATTCCTCGACATGGACACCATGCGCATCCTTTACAAGCCGGGTTACATGGTCAAGAAGGTGCTCGGCGTGCTGGCGGGTTTTGGGCGTCGCCTTGCGGTACTTCCAAAGGTCTTTGCTTATGACCATATCTTCATACATCGTGAAGCAAGCCCCATCGGCCCGCCTTTTATAGAGGCCATACTTTTCGTGCTGGGGCGATCGGTCATTTTTGATTTTGATGACGCCATCTTCATCAGCAAGACATCCCGGGTCAATCGCATCGTCGCATTCGCGAAGTGGTCCTCAAAGATCAGGTTTATCTGTCGTCACAGCGCAAAGGTTGCGGTTTGCAATAACTACCTGGTCAATTGGGTAAGGCAATACAACCCGAACGCGGTTTTGTTGCCGACGACCATAGATCTTTCGTATCACAAGCCGATTGCCAAAGCGCCACTTGCAACACGTCGACCCGTGATAGGTTGGACGGGCACCCAGTCCACCATGGTGTATCTTGAGCTTGTTCGTGAAGCGCTGATTGAACTCCAGAAGCGATATGACTTTGAGTTTCGTGTGATCTGCGATGTTGACCCCAAATTCCCGGAACTGAAGAACTACCGCTTTGTAAAATGGACACTGTCCTCGGAAATTGAAGATCTCGCTGCCATGGATATTGGCCTCATGCCCGTTCCCCAGGGGGAGTGGGAGCAAGGTAAGGTCGGTTTCAAGGCCATACAGTATTCCGGCGTGGCCGCTGCACCGGTGGTGTCCTCGACGGGGTCTGGCCATGAAGTGGTGCTTCAGGGGAAGACGGGGCTTGTTGTTGACAATGACCGCGCCAGCTGGGTGAACGCACTGGCTTCCTTGCTGGATAATCCAGACCAACTGGAAACGATGGGGCAGGCAGCGCGTGAATACATTGATTCCCGCTATTCGGTCAGGTCGCAGGTTCCAACTTACATGGCCCTTTTGGGCAAATAATCGGCATTCAGCCAGCAGGCAATATTTTTAAGAGGTGAGGCGAGTGAAGATTGATAACGGAACCCGTGTTTATGTGGCAGGCTGCGGCGGCATGCTGGGTGATGCGATGTACGCGCGCCTTAAATCGACTGGTGCGGTCATCAAGGCAACCGACATCAACTGCATTGAAACCTGGCTTGAGTACGGTGACGTACGTGACTTTGCTGCAATACGCAAAAGCATTGTTGATTTCAAACCGGATCTGATCATCAATCTGGCAGCGCTTACTGATCTCGAATTCTGCGAAAAGGAGCAGGAAAACTCCTGGTTGACCAACGGTCTGGGCGCAGAAAACCTGGGCCTGGTTGCCAATGAGCTTGATGTGCCCTATGTATACATTTCGACGGCCGGCATCTTCGGTGGCGAGCGCGATTTGTACAACGACTTCCATGCGCCGAACCCCCTGTCCGTGTACGCGCAATCAAAGTACTACGGTGAGCAATATGTCCGCAACAGTGTGCGTAAGCATTACGTGCTGCGCGCCGGCTGGATGATGGGGGGCGGCCCAGGCAAGGACAAAAAATTCATTAACAAGATATACAAGCAGATTTGCGCCGGCGCCAAAGAACTGTTTGTTGTTGATGACAAACTGGGTACGCCGACTTATACGGTCGACTTTGCGAATGGCTTGTGCGGCATTGTTGAAAGCGAACAGTACGGCCTCTATAACCAGGTCTGCAACGGGGCGGCGAGCCGTTACGTGGTTGCCGGGGAGTTCGTTCGCCTCATGGGGCTTGCAGACAAAGTCAAGGTAACCGTCGTTCCTTCAGACTATTTCAAGGAGCAGTATTTCGCACCGCGACCAGCGAGTGAAAAGCTTGTCAACCTCAAACTTAATCAGCGCGGCCTTAATCTGATGCGTGACTGGGAGGTCTGCCTTCAGGAATACGTTGAAGTTTTCAAGGCTGATTACGCTCGCCGGTAAGGCAGTTCTGGCTTGAAACCGACCAACCATACTTTTGGCGCCACGGCGACCCTGAGCCTGAAGGTTTGGGTGGCCATATTCGTTTATGCGATTCTCGCTGGCCTGGCGATCCAGCTGGTCATTCTTCCCTACGTTTTCCCCCAGCTTCACGCCGGTAACGGACTTCTTGCCGGGCGGGATTGGGTCGGTTTCCATGCGCAGGCAATTACAGAGGCTCAGCGAATTCTGCAGGGTGGCTGGGCCGAGTTTCGTCTCAGGCCGGATTCAGATAACGCCATTATCGGGATTACCGGACTTTTTTATCTGCTTTTTGGCCCTCACCCGTGGACCATTTTGCCCTTGAGTGCTGTCATGTTTGCCACAGGTGGCGTGGCCCTTTTTTCAATACTGAAGCAACTTGATCTCGAAGACAACGATGCGCTGATCGCCATCCTTCCGTATCTGTTTTTTCCGTCATCACTGCTTCAGTATGGACAGATACACAAGGACGTTTTCTGCACCGCCGGCGTGCTGGTCATTCTTTGGGCCTGGGCAAGCCTGCTCCGGCAAGAGCGCAAGAACTGGCAGATCTTTCCCCTGATAGTGATCGGTGCGCTGGCGCTGATGGTTGTGTCGGTCTTTCGCCCTTATTTCATGTACCCCTTTCTTGGTCTGGGGGCCCTGCTGCTGTGTTGCTATGTTGTGCGTGCTGTCTGGCAACTCTGGCGTTCTTCTGCCCTTGGCATGGAAATGAAGCGGTCCGGTCTGGTCTTCAACCTGACTTCGATAGCAATTATTGTTGTGCTGAATGCCTGTGTCTACATCATGTCCGTCACCTATGTGGACATGCGGCTTGAGCCCTTTCTTTCAAGTGATGTCAGGGCGAAGTTCGCCTTCCCGGTTTTTTCCCTGCACTCGAACAAAGATGTTCGAAGCGCCGATACGGTGCGCATTCTCTCCGCAAGTCATCTTCAGGCAGAAGCAGAAGCAGAGGCAGCTCGCATCAAGGCGATAGAAGAGTGCCGTCCTGTGATT